AACAGAGTAAAGTCCGAGGCAGCTACGGTGAAAAGCTCTGTTCCACAAGGCACAGTACTAGCTCCCATCTTGTTCCTCATCCTCATATCCGACATAGACAAGGATGTCAGCCACAGCACCGTGTCTTCCTTTGCAGATGACACCCGAATCTGCATGACAGTGTGTTCCATCGCAGACACTGCAAGGCTCCAGGCGGACATCAACCAAATCTTTCAGTGGGCTGCAGAAAACAATATGAAGTTCAACGATGAGAAATTTCAATTACTCAGATATGGTAAACATGAGGAAAATAAATCTTCATCAGAGTACAAAACAAATTCTGGCCACGAAATAGAGCGAAACACCAACGTCAAAGACCTGGCAGTGATTATGTCGGAGGATCTCACCTTCAAGGACCATAACATTGTATCAATCGCATCTGCTAGAAAAATGACAGGATGGATAATGAGAACCTTCAAAACTAGGGAGGCCAAGCCCATGATGACACTCTTCAGGTCACTTGTTCTATCTAGGCTGGAATATTGCTGCACTCTAACAGCACCTTTCAAGGCAGGTGAAATTGCCGACCTAGAAAATGTACAGAGAACTTTCACGGCGCGCATAACGGAGATAAAACACCTCAATTACTGGGAGCGCTTGAGGTTTCTAAACCTGTATTCCCTGGAACGCAGGAGGGAGAGATACATGATTATATACACCTGGAAAATCCTAGAGGGACTAGTACCGAACTTGCACACGAAAATCACTCACTACGAAAGCAAAAGACTTGGCAGACGATGCACCATCCCCCCAATGAAAAGCAGGGGTGTCACTAGCACGTTAAGAGACCATACAATAAGTGTCAGGGGCCCGAGACTGTTCAACTGCCTCCCAGCACACATAAGGGGGATTACCAACAGACCCCTGGCAGTCTTCAAGCTGGCACTGGACAAGCACCTAAAGTCAGTTCCTGATCAGCCGGGCTGTGGCTCGTACGTTGGTTTGCGTGCAGCCAGCAGCAACAGCCTGGTTGATCAGGCGCTGATCCACCAGGAGGCCTGGTCACAGACCGGGCCGCGGGGGCGTTGACCCCCGAAACTCTCTCCAGGTAAACTCCAGGTAAACACAGAGAGTAGTCGTCAACAGAGTAAAGTCCGAGGCAGCTACGGTGAAAAGCTCTGTTCCACAAGGCACAGTACTCGCTCCCATCTTGTTCCTCATCCTCATATCCGACATAGACAAGGATGTCAGCCACACCACCGTGTCTTCCTTTGCAGATGGCACCCGAATCTGCATGACAGTGTCTTCCATTGCAGACACTGCAAGGCTCCAGGCGGACATCACCCAAATCTTTCAGTGGGCTGCAGAAAACAATATGAAGTTCAACGATGAGAAATTTCAGTTACTCAGATATGGTAAACACGAGGAAATTAAATCTTCATCAGAGTACAAAACAAATTCTGGCCACAAAATAGAGCGAAACACCAACGTCAAAGACCTGGGAGTGATCATGTCGGAGGATCTCACCTTCAAGGACCATAACATTGTATCAATCGCATCTGCTAGAAAAATGACAGGATGGATAATGAGAACCTTCAAAACTAGGGAGGCCAAGCCCATGATGACACTCTTCAGGTCACTTGTTCTATCTAGGCTGGAATATTGCTGCACACTAACAGCACCTTTCAAGGCAGGTGAAATTGCTGACCTAGAAAATGTACAGAGAACCTTCACGGCGCGCATAACGGAGATAAAACACCTCAATTACTGGGAGCACTTGAGGTTCCTAAACCTGTATTCCCTGGAATGCAGGAGGGAGAGATACATGATTATATACACCTGGAAAATCCTAGAGGGACTAGTACCGAACTTGCACTCGAAAATCACTCACTACGAAAGCAAAAGACTTGGCCGACGATGCAACATCCCCCCAATGAAAAGCAGGGGTGTCACTAGCACGTTAAGAGACCATACAATAAGTGTCAGGGGCCCGAGACTGTTCAACTGCCTCCCAGCACACATAAGGGGGATTACCAACAGACCCCTGGCAGTCTTCAAGCTGGCACTGGACAAGCACCTAAAGTCAGTTCCTGACCAGCCGGGCTGTGGCTCGTACGTTGGTTTGCGTGCAGCCAGCAGTAACAGCCTGGTTGATCAGGCTCTGATCCACCAGGAGGCCTGGTCACAGACCGGGCCGCGGGGGCGTTTACCCCCGGAACTCTCTTCAGGTAAACTCCAGGTAAACATGTACAAGTTATACAGTCCAAGCTAACATCAGTGACATACTACTATATGTGACCCACACCAGTCGACTGACATCCAGGTACCCATTTTATACTGATGGGTGAACAGGGACAGCAGGTGTCTTATGGAAACACGTCCCTAATATTTTCTAGCCGTGCCGGAGATTCGAACTCTGGACCTCAGTGTGTGAGCTGAGTGCACTAGCGATTGAGCGGCGGAAAAGCATTTGATTCTCTATCGTGCCAGGGTTCGATTCCCAAATAGGCCAAGTAGAAGTAGACAAGAATGTCTTTTGGAAAAAAATGAGTGCCTAGTGGAACATAATGTTGACAAGTTTCTCTGACGCAGTGACTGTTGTTATAAGCTCGTACACAAACTTTGAAATTTGCACCAAAAATAACTGCATCAGATACTAAGCTTGTTAAACTTAACGTTCAGCAATAAAATTCGGATTAAACTTACCCAACTTATCTTAAATCAATATAAATTTAGTCATTTTGACATCAAGACAAGAAACTGTGTATTAGTTGCGTAAGGTTCAAAATTATTTTCAAGATTATTGTAACAATGAATACCGGTTTGCCACCATTAATATATATATATATATATATATATATATATATATATATATATATATATATATATATATATATATATATATATATATATATATATATATGTCGTGCCGAATAAGTAAAACTTGTCAATTAGCAGGAACTCGTTTAAAATTAAGTTCTTTCTAAAATGATCTCTTATACGTTTAAAGATATATTTTTTTCGTTTATGTTAATGTAAAAATTAATAATTTTGTTCCAAAAGATCCTTAGAAAACTTTCCTAACCTTATTATAATAAGCGTAATTTAATTTATCCTAATCCAACTGAATATATTTTAGATAAGTTTACAATAATTAATACTAAACAAAAACAATGAAATATATATTTTTTTTCGTTAATTTAAGATGATCTTTGCGAAATTATTGCATGCACAAATTTTCGCTTGCCTTATTCAGCAAGAAGAGTGTTCACCTATATGTAGCTCTTAGGGACCTAGTTCAGGCTCCTGGCCCCCGCCTCTTGTTCTTCACTGGTCGTTACTAGGTTAACTCTCCCCTGGCTTCAAAACACTTATCATACCTCTTCTAAAGCTATGTATGGATCTTTCCTCTACCACTTCCTGACAAGTCTCAGGCCGAAGACTACTTCCTAACATCCTTGTGACTCATCTGAGTTTTCAACTTCGAGTTGTGTCCCCTTGTTTCTGAATCCCATCTCTGAAACATTCTGTCCTTGTCCACCTTGTCAATTCTCTGAGTGTACTCATCTAGTTGTGGTTGCAGGGGTCGATTCATAGCTCCTGGTCCTGCCTCTTCGCTGGTCACTACTAGGTCACTTCCTAGGCTATTCCACTTCCTGACAACTCTTTAACTGAAGAAATACTCCCTAACATCCCTGTGATTCATCTGAGTCATGAACTTCCAACTGTGTCCCCTTGTTGCTTTGTCCCATCTCTGGAACATCCTGTCTCTGTCCACCTTGTCGATTCCTCTTAGTATTTTATATGTCGTTATCATCCCCCCTATCTCTCTTTTCTTCCAGTGTCGTCAGGTCGATTTCCCTTAACCTCTTCTCGAAGAATATACCCCTTAGCTCGAGACTAGTCTTGTTGCAAACCTTTGCACTTTCTCTAGTTTCCTTACGTGTTTGGCTAGGTGTGGGTTCCATACTCCAATATAGCCCTAATGTACACGGTGTACACGGTCCTGAACAATTTCTTATAGAGATGTCGGAATGCTGTTCTTAGGTTTGCTAGGCGCCCGTATGCTGCAGTGTGTGTGTGTGTGTGTGTGTGTGTGTATACTCACCTAATTGTGGTTGCAGGGGTCGAGACTCAGCTCCTGGCCCCACCTCTTCACAGACCGCTACTAGGTCCTCTCTCCCCCTGCTCCATGAGCTTTATCATACCTCGTCTTAAAACTATGTATAGTTCCTGCCTCCACTACATCGCTTGCCAGACTACTCCATTTCCTAATTGCTCTATGACTGAAGAAATACTTCCTAACATCCCTTTGACTCATCTGTGTCTTCAGCTTCCAGTTGTGACCCCTTGTTTGTGTCCCATCTCTGGAACATCCTGTCTCTGTCCACCTTGTCTATTCCATGCAGTATTTTGTATGTCGTTATCATATCTCCCCTGACCCTCCTGTCCTCCAGTGTTGTCAGACCAATTTCCCTTAACCTTTCTTCATAGGACATTTCCCTTAGCTCTGGAACTAGCCTTGTTGACGTGTTTGACCAGGTGTGGGTTCCAAACTGGTGCTGCGCACTCCAGTATGGGCCTGACGTACACAGTGTATAAAGTCTTGAACGATTCCTTACTGAGGTACCGGAACGCTATTCTGAGGTTTGCCAAGTGCCCATATGCCGCAGCAGTTATCTGGTTAATGTGTACTTCTGTCGATGTACTTGGTATTATACTCACTCCTAGGTCTTTCTCCTTGAATGAGATTTGCAGCCTTTGGCCACCTAGCCTATACTCTGTCTGCGGTCTTCTTTGCCCTCCTCCGATCTTCATGACTTTGCATTTGGCGGGGTTAAATTCTAGGAGCCAGTTTCTGGACCACACATCCAGCCAGTCCAGGTCTCTTTGTAGACCTGTGAACCACTGCTGTGTGTGTTTGTGTGTGTGTGTGTGTGTGTGTGTGTGTGTGTGTGTGTGTGTGTGTGTGTGTGTGGATCATAATTCACAATTATTACATATAATTATAGCCTACTTACCGGAACTACTTTTGTTGTTGACTTCAATGTTTGCTGACAAGCGAGAAAGTCTTGAATGTAAGAACACTAGGTCATCAATACTGTGCTCATTGCCCCAGGATGACCCCAGGTCTTTAATTTTTCTCACAATCTTGCTGAAGTGGGCAGTGGGTGTAGTGGAAGCGGGTATGGCCAGAACCTTCCTGGCCACCGCTGCTAGGAGAGGCAGCATTGTAGAGTTATGCTGCCACCACAGTAACAAGTTGTCAGAGTCAGTATAGTCCTTCATAATAGTGTAGAGCAGGATCTCTCGCTCTGCAACACTCTCCTCGTCTTGGTGTTGCTCCTCGTCCTCCAGGTATGACAGGGGACTGCTCTCCTGTTTAGCTTTCTTCCTACGTGGTTCACTGATCTCAATATAAGCCTGAGCTAAACGTTTAACTTCCTTACGCACTAACTCTCTGTCTTCTTGGGATATTGTTCGTAGGCTGTTCATACGCGGGTTAAAAAATACGGCAACTTTGTGAAGTAGGTGAAGATCTTCATTCTGGTCAAGGGTTCGCATCATTGCCTCTTTCAGTATGACCAAGGCACCAGTATCACCATCACTGCAGGCACAAGTATCACGGAGATGAACCAACCAAGGCACCACCTTGTGCAGTGTAGCCACCTCACAACATTCCATGTCTTCAACAGCAGTCTTGAATGGGCTCAATAGAGTAATAAGATGGCGCATTTGTCCCTCACTCTCCGTGCTGAGAGACTCTCTCAGTCTCTGCTCTTGTATCACAGTCAACAACTCGCTGCGTGCTCTACATACCCTCTCTACCATCTTCAAAGTATCTCTCCAATCAGTCTCACTGTTGACGAGATCCATTTCCAACAGTTTTGACACCTTCATATTTTCTCTGTTAATAAGCCGGATAATTTCTCTGAATTTTTCTAAATTTATTGAAATTTCTTTTGCGGTTTGATTATCTTGTTTAAGTAACTGGTTGACTGATTGGTTTATCATATATGAAAAACTCTTGATCATAGTCGCCTCTTTCCACTTAGCATTTAATGGACTCTCACCACTTGTTATGAGCGTCATTCTCTCTGGCGTTGTTTCAAAACCAAATTTTCCTAGGAAACGTAACACCTCGTCTTTCATTTTCGTCGGGGCATCACCACTGAAATCACACACTCCGAGAAAGTCTGTTCCCACACTACAGTCTTTAACATAGTGCACTGTGAGTGCGATGAGGTGCGAGTGCCTGTCAGCAGTAAGTGTGTGCAGGGTGACGGCTGAGCCGTGGAGGAGACGTGGGCACAAAGCTGCCCTTAGCTTGAGCCTCTCCTCTCCTGCCCGAGCACAAACCCGCTTGGCTACGGTTGCTGTTGAAGGCAGCACTGAGTCTACTTCAAATTTACCATGCATAGCTCCACAATCCACCATGAACTGTGCTAGCTTTCTGAAACCATTACCAGTGAGACACTGGTATGATAACATATCATTGGCGACATACTCGGCACATATATCAGTAGTACGTGTGAATATATCCCATTCCTCATTATTACGCGACTCTTCCAGTACTTCTTCCTTAACGTGCACTTCAGGGATCATCATAGCGTGAGCTGGGAGCACACCAGCAGCTGAACAAGTTCTTAGGTGACTGATGAGTGACGAGGTACCAGAGATGTGTGGGTCATGTCTGAGTACATCCATACAGTACATACAACCAGCGTAACCTACCAGGTTACCCTGCTCATCTAGGACCATCCTGAAGTGCTCCCACACCTTGGATCTTCCACGTCTGTCTGTAGTCAGCCTGTACACTCCGCTACGTAGCTTCTCCCGCACATACCTCCGCAATTCTGTAAGATTGCTTTCCAATTTGGTGTCGAGGATTGTGGCTGGTGACAACTTCTCACTAACACTATTGTTACCATTGTACTGCACGGGTAGTACTGTTTCCATGGTAAATGTGGCGAGCGTCCCTAGCTCGGTGGTAGGGCGTTCGACTCACAACCGAAAGGAGCAGGGTTTGGTCCCCTGGCGGGGTGGACCGGTCAAGTAGGCTGACACCTGCTCACCTAGCAGTGAAAATAGATGGCTAGGTGTTAGTAGGAAGGCATCTTAGGAGAGAGGACATACGGACGCCAGCTACAGTCATTCACACTACTTGGTTTTCTAGCGATATTAACCCTCCTGGGTTAATAATATAATAAAAGTGTTGTTGAAAACAGTAAAGCCAGCACTCCCGCTCACCCCAGCTGGTACTGAGGCTTCACCAGAGGTAGTGGCGGCAGGACCGCAGCCAAATCAATGGCTGTGGTCACCCGCTTGCAACCGCTCTGGAGGTATTCATTGGACACCGCGTCCCTCTGGTTAGCATGAGGGATTGTGATTGGCCAGCGGGGAGTACCCGCACACCGGGGACTGACTTCCCAAAAAGGTTGGGCGGCGCCTTGGCGGAGGTGGGGAGTTGGGGGAGATAGAGGAGGGGATGAACCGCCCTGGTGTGGCTAGCTAGAGCAGCGGTTACCACCTGCCAATAATACTCCCCTACACTGCATCATTCACTAATAACTGCACTAGTGAAGGTTTACTTCGATCATACAACATAAACTTTATTTTCCGAAGTTTTACCGTACTGAACGAAACTCAACGAAACTGACAGTCAAAAACCAACAGTTTCAGAGATGAGGAGAACACCGCTTCATCTCCTCTAACCAACAACTTGACACATACTCTTGCGGGTCATGACAAAATAAAAACAACGCATGGAAACAAATAAATAATTGGCCAGTCTCAATTAAGGACACCAGTAGCAGCAGCACTAACACCACCAGCAACACCACCACCACCAGCAACACCACCAGCAACACCACCAGCAACACCACCACCACCACCAACACCACCAGCAACACCACCAACAACACCACCAGCAACACCACCACACAGAACACCACCACCACCAGCAACACCCACCACCACCACAACAACCACCACCACCACACCACCACAGCAACACCACCACCAGCAACACACCACCAGCAACCACCACCACCAGCAACACCACCACCATCCAGCAACACCACACCACCAGCAACACCACCACCACCAGCAACATCCACACCAGCAACACCACCACCCAGCAACACCACACCACAGCCACACCAACGACCACCACCAGCAACACACCACAACAACCAGCCACACCAAAGCAACCACCACCACACACCACAACACACCACCACCACCCAGCAACACCACCACCACCAGCAACACACCACCACCACCACCACCACAACACACCACCACCAGCAACACCACCACCACCAGCAACACCACCACCACCAGCAACACCACCACCACCAGCAACCCCCACCACACACACCACCACACCAGCAACACCACCACCACCAGCAACACACCACCACCACAAACCACCACCACCACCACCACACCACCAGCAACACCACCACCACCAGCAACACCACCACCACAGCAACACCACCACCACCAGCAACACCCCCACCACCCCAGCAACACCACCACCACCAGCAACACCACCCGCAACCCACCACCACCCGCAACACCACACACCACCACACCAGCAACACCACCACCACCAGCAACACACCACCACCACCCACCACAACAACCACCACAAACAACCACCAGCAACAACCCAACCACCAGCAACACACCACCACAGCACACCACCACCACCAGCAACCACCACCACCAGCAAACACCACACCACCACCACAACACACACCAGCAACACCACCACCACCAGCAACACCACCCACCAGCACACCACCACACCACAACACCCACCACAGCAACACCACCACCACCAGCAACACCACCACCACCAGCACACCACCACCACAGCAACACCACCACCACCAGCAACACCACCACCACCAGCAACACCACCACCACAGCACCACCACCACCACAACACCACCACCACCAGCAACACCACCACCACCAGCAACACCACCACCAAACAGCACCACCACCACACACACCACCACAAACACCACCACCACCAGCAACACCACCACCACCAGCAACACCACCACCACCAGCAACACCACCACCACCAGCAACACCACACCACACAACACCCCACCACCAGCAACACTCACACCACCACAACATCACCACCAAGCAACACCACCACCACCAGCAACACCACCACCACCAGCAACACCACCACCACCAGCAACACCACCACCACCAGCAACACCACCACCACCAGCAACACCACCACCACCAGCAACACACCACCACCCCCCCGCAACACCACCACCACCAGCAACACCACCACCACCAGCAACACCACCACCACCAGCAACACACCACCATCCAGCAAACCAAACCACCACCACCAGCAACACCACCACCACCAGCAACACCACCACCACCAGCAACACCACCACCACCAGCAACACCACCACCACCAGCAACACCACCACCACCAGCAACACCACCACCATCAGCAACAACCACCACCACCAGCAACACCACCACCACCAGCAACACCACCACCACCAGCAACACCACCACCACCAGCAACTCACCACCACCAGCAACACCACCACCACAGCAACACCACCACCACCAGCAACACCACCACCACCAGCAACACCACCACACAACACCACCAGCAACCACAACACCACCACCACCAGCAACACCACCACCACCAGCAACACCACCACCACCACAACACCACCACCATCCAGCAACACCACCACCACCAGCAACACCACCACCACCAGCAACACCACCACCACCAGCAACACCACCACCACCAGCAACACCACCACTAACAACACCAGCAACACTACCACCACCACCACCAGCAACACCAGTACACCACCAGCAGCACCAGCACCACCAGCACTAACACCACCAGCAACACCACCACCACCAGCAACACCAGTACCACCACCAGCAGCACCAGCACCAGCAACACCAGCACTAACACCACCAGCAACACCACCACCACCAGCAACACCAGTACCACCACCAGCAGCACCAGCACCAGCAACACCAGCACTAACACCACCAGCAACACCACCACCACCAGCAACACCAGTACCACCACCAGCAGCACCAGCACCACCAGCACTAACACCACCAGCAACACCACCACCACCAGCAACACCAGTACCACCACCAGCAGCACCAGCACCACCAGCACTAACACCACCAGCAACACCACCACCACCAGCAACACCAGTACCACCACCAGCAGCACCAGCACCAGCACCACCAGCACTAACACCACCAGCAACACTACCACCACAAGCAACACCAGTACCACCAGTACCACCACCAGCACCACCAGTTACCATGTTCAACTAGCAGTAACAATCACATTATACATAGTATAATGTATTGTGTTGTAAAGCAATATAATGTACTATGTAATACAAAACAGCATAATTTACTATATAATACAACACAGTATAAGATACCTTATAAACCATTAGGATACCAAAATATTTACTTATTTTCTGATTATATGTTGTAAAAGTTATTATTATTAATTAAAGTACAGGAAAGACTGTGCTATAACTTAAATTGCCAGGCATACCATCTAAAGGGAACAAAAAGATACAAAACATCCAGGCCATGGGAAAACCTGGGTAGCCACAGCCACTCAAGAGGGAGAGGTTTTTTAGTGCCAGGAAGGAAAAAAAAACTGGCAGGAAATGGCAGAAATCGTACACCAAATCCAGTCATTCCTGGAGTGGAACCACAGTCGATGGCCTCCACTCCAAACCAACAGATACAGATACTAATGCCGGAAAAAAAATCCCCCCCCAAGACCAACAATACCACCAGTCCGATAACATTCTTCTTTGCAAATATACAGGGTCTAAAGCCAGCAACAAACAACAAAATACCTTTCATCCATGGACTGCTTGCAGAGGCAAAGGCAATGTTCACGGCTTTCACTGAGACCCACATAAAGGATCACTTGGACAACGAAATATGGATCCCAGGTTACAACCTATACAGATGTGACAGAGTGAACAGGTAAAAGGGGGGGGGGGGTTGGCCTGTACATTGCAGAGTCACTTGTTTGCACAGAACTGCTAAATGCCTCAAATGATGTAGTGGAAGTTTTAGCAGTAAAGGTCGAGAACCAAAACCTAGTCATTGTGGTAGTCTACAAGCCTCCAGATGCAACATCCCAGCAGTTCCAGAACAGCTGTTAAAAATTGACCACTGTCTGGAAAACCTTCCAGCTCCTGCACCCAACATCTTGCTCCTGGGGGATTTCAACTTAAGGCACCTAAAATGGAGGAATATAGCAAATAATATTGTTGCAGTAATAACACCAGGAGGCAGCTCTGATGAAAACTCACACTCACACAAGCTTTTAAATCTCTGCACAAAATTCAATTTAAACCAGCAAATAATAGAGCCTACTAGACTGGAGAATACACTAGACCTCATCTTCACTAACAATGATGATCTGATAAGAAATGTCACCATATCAAAAACAATATACTCAGATCACAACATAATTGAGGTTCACTCATGTATGCGCGGAGCCCCAGACCGACATAATGAGATTAGTCACGAGGGAGCATTCACCAAATTCAACTTCAATAACAAAAACATAAAGTGGGACCAAGTAAACCAAGACCTAACCGATATAAGCTGGGAAGATATACTAAGCAACACAGACCCCAACTTATGCCTAGAACAGATTAACTCGGTGGCACTCGATGTATGCAGAAGGCTTATTCCTCTAAGAAAAAGGAGGAGTAGATGTAAAACAGAAAGAGACAGGCGCTCCCTTTACAGGCGACAGAAAAGAATAACAGAGCGGCTAAAAGAGGTCAATATATCTGAAATGCGTAGGGAGACACTGGTCAGAGAAATAGCAAGCATCGAACTTAAGCTAAAAGAATCCTTTAGGAGTCAGGAATCGCGGGAAGAACTAAAAGCCATAAATGAAATCGAAAGAAACCCAAAGTATTTCTTCTCCTATGCCAAATCAAAATCGAGAACAACGTCCAGTATTGGGCCCCTACTTAAACAAGATGGGTCCTACACAGATGACAGCAAGGAAATGAGTGAGCTACTCAAGTCCAATATGACTCAGTTTTTAGCGAGCCGCTAACCAGACTGAGAGTCGAAGATCAAAATGAATTTTTTATGAGAGAGCCACAAAATTTGATTAACACAAGCCTATCCGATGTTATCCTGACGCCAAATGACTTCGAACAGGCGATAAATGACATGCCCATGCACTCTGCCCCAGGGCCAGACTCATGGAACTCTGTGTTTCATCAAGAACTGCAAGAAGGCCCTATCACGAGCCTTTTCCATCCTATGGAGAGGGAGCATGGACATGGGGGTCGTCCCACAGTTACTAAAAACAACAGACATAGCCCCACTCCACAAAGGGGGCAGTAA